TTCAGAGTTTTTGGCCGAGTTTTCGATTAAATTATCTTCCTATGCGATTCTTAGATTGTCTGGTGTGTTGTAAATTACGCAAGTGATATATCCTATACGCATCTGATAACATTTTGGAAGAAACGTTTCTTTACATACTACCAACTTTGCCGTCGATCGGTAAGTAGGTGAAGTCTGTCGAGTCATACATCACCATTACGGATTGTTATGTCACGTTAACTGTTCGTTTTTTACACAATTTTTCTTTTTTCTTAACCTGTCGGTAGACTGTCGGCCGCCTGTCGGTCAACTGTCGGCCGACAGTCGGCCGACTGTCGGCCGACAGGTTTTTTGGGGAGCTCTTCTTCACAATTACCCTTGAGCCAGTTCAGTTTTGTACTTTTGGGGTCTTCAGTCCTATACATGTTGCAGTCGAAGGTATTTTGGCCAACTATGATACATACAATAACGTGTAGGGATAGGGTGTCCGTGCTACACGGGCACGCTTTAGCTTGTTTTGTCTTCTCGGCCAATCTGACCGAAATGCCGTTGGCATCCCGATTCATACGGTTCAAGCCATTGCTTTACAAAACCGATAGTGTAGCGTCCTCGGATCACCGCTTCACCCATTTAAAAACCGTCTCATTTTTAGCCTTAGTGCATGAGCTCCTTTATAAACAAAACTTAGTTGCCACGGAGCCGCCAGCAAAAAACAACAACTTCATATCATGTGCAACTTCAGTTCGGCTTTGGCAAATTATATAATTGAGCATAAGAACTATCCAAAAGGTGAACCGAGTTTCAAAGCTAAGTTTACAGTATTCTTTTCGAGTTTTTCCTTTTTACCCTGTCGATTTGAGTTACGGTGAAAACATTGTAAAAGTTATCGGCATTTTATGGTTTCGTGGTAAGTACTTGGTGCAATCCTTCATACCTGCATCAATACAGAAGAACATATGAGAATACATGGTTATTTGCATCCATTAACATACATTAAGTATTACACCAAGTACTTACCTTTTTCGTTGCGGTGGCCGCTGACCAGCAAAATACTGTATCGTGCTCTTAAAAACGTATTTCCGCGGTGTCACATCCTCCTCCTCTTATCCTGACTGGACCAGGGACAAGTCCTAACAGGTAAGTTGATCGTAACAATGCATCAGTCGTGAGGCACATAAAGTTATTATCTTCTTGATTACGGAAGGGAATTTATAATGATAAGTATGAGTTTGTGACCAAGTGTGAGGTCAGTATAGCTAGACGTTGACCTGTTTCATTTTGCAGTTAAGAAAAAAAAAAAAATTAGACTAACATCCATTAAAAGAATGCAAACTGTTTTATGTTCTCTTGCATCCATCCATCTTGAAATAACACGCTCAGTCAGCTTGAAGGGATCTTTTTTTTTTTTTTTATCAAAAGGTAAAATGTAAAGTGCGCTTTTGTGGTAACTAATCGGGCAATCTAGACGGTGGTGAAAATCGTCCGTTAATGCAGCCAATCAGAACTAGCCGGGAAACAGATTAAAAGGTATTAGCTTTACGTCTGTATGCACACGCAAACAAAATATTGATACAGTTATATTTATAAAAAGTGAATTGTTTTCTTGCTAATCTTACAGTGCAGCGTCAACAATGACCCGTGTCGCTTATGCGCGCCTGTCTAGTGCTGGATTTCCGACCATTACTGACCGCCGTGGTAACCTTCCACAAGTGATTGATCCCAGATAGGAATTACCACCACATTTAGATACTGAAGCTGTCGATCAACTTCTGAGCAATGAGATTGTCATCCAGTTTCTCGCTCTGTCAAGGTATGTTATAACATAGCTTGTAAATTCGTGCAATCAAATTCAGTAGCGCGAGCGTGCTTCAACTTTCCATTGTGCAGTATTCCATTGTGAATATTATACTGATCTATCTAATTACGGTTAAACAGAGGACACTCTTCAGTTCGCGTCAGCGTGTTTGGAGTAGCAAGGGGGTAAATTTTAGTAGCCATTGCAATTTAGGGGCGTTTAAAACCTGGACAATGCATGGTTACAAGTACGTCTATGAGGGGCTCGAGGAAGGTTTCGTGGGGCGTTGCCAAATGCTTTCGCTCGATTCGCCTTGCTGTTCTATCGCTGTGGATTGACTCCTTGCTAATATCATTTACAGGAAACAAAAGTACTAAAATCAAGGCCAAGCAAATGGCAGAATGTGACGCAGAACTTTCCGCTGTGTTGTTCAGCAGGCAGGAAAAGATAACCAAAGATGATCAGCCAGTCAGAGAAGCTGATGCTATAAGAAAAAGGTCAGTTGAGTTTAAGTTGTGGACTTAGTAGTTTCGTACGTCTTACATTGAAAATATTGTAACCGTGTGGCTTTCAATGGGGATGTAATTTTGACCTCTTTTATAGTTACAATAAATTTTTGTATTGAGTGTTGATGGTAATCCATAATTATTTGGTTTTTTTAACACAGGTTCTGTCTGTTTCAAAAGAAAAACCGGCTTCCTCAAAACCCCCTCTCTCTCTCTCAAGAGCGACCAAGAGCAAATTTTTCCTAACATTATCAACACAAACAGACATGAAATGAGAATAGAAGAACACAGTAACTAGAGGATTCTCATTTGATCCAACACCAAATTCTCAGGCAGACAATAAGGAGAATTTTCATAGAGAAATTGGGAGTGAAAGGATTAACCAACCAGACGAAAAGCTGATACCAGTTCCGACTTGGTCAGCCCACTTTCCTTCGATTGAACTCGGTTATTTTAGCGGGGAAGTGATTTTCCTAACCAAATTCGTAATCACTTGATATTCAACCTTCCACTTACTTTTGACACAGAAAACTTGAAAGAATGCAGGCGGTTCGGCAGACCCAAGGTGCTGCTGATACCTCTACGGGCAATTTAATTGTAAGTCGACTCTTGCCACATGATTTTATGATCATTCTTTTTCTATTATACTTGTTTTTATTCCATATCCCACGCTCCTGATAAGACGAATATAATTTTTTCTTTACTCCACTGCCGTAATTAAAAATATCCCTCTTTCTTATCCTGGTTACTCATTTAACGCTTTGGACACTCGAGATCCTAGTTGTATGCAGGATGTGGGTCACGTGAATTTCGTAACGTTCAAATTCAGAGTTTTCTGAAGCTCAGTGGTGGAGCATCAGGGCTTAATTCTTCGTTGAGAGATCAGATTTTCTTCATGTCTTACGCACTTTTCAAAACGAACAAAGTTTTTCTGTAGTTTTTTCCCACCGTCTTTTAAGCTGCTCTGCATTCAGCGTTTACTTTCAAGGTGTGCATCTACAATCAAATTCATGAAACATCTATTTGTTTTCAGATTCAAAAAGAAGAGAAACTACAAAGAACACGAGACCTCAAAACCATTCAGCTTTACAGGTCAGTTATACTCAGTAAAGGTTAGTATTCGTGTCAGAAACTATAGCTGTTTATCCCACACTTTGTCTAAAATGTTTCTTGACAATTTACCTATCTGTAGCTTAAAAGGAAGGTCCCGTTTTCGTTCATGAGTTGAAGGACATGACATAGCCCCTTTTCAGTGTGAGCTGATTTTCCTTGTTTATCTCTGTCTCTATTTTACGACGTGACAGTTATTTTGAATTCTCTTATAACAAGAAACTACACTGGAGTACCAAACTGGAAAAATTCTCAGGTCTTGAGCTACATCTTGACAGTTATCATTGTTAGAATTCTGACTGCTGCATTGCTTTTTTACCGACAAGATTTGTTCTTCGAGTAGTCTTTATCAAGCATGGTCAGGCCTGGAAGGAGACTCCTGCTCTGTTCTTCTAGTGAATATAGTAGATTGAAAATGTTTTTTTTTCTTAACAGAGAGAAGCTCAGACATGAGAAAATCCTTGCTTTGTTAGCTGGTAACATCACGACCAGCCACACAATCCACCCGTTATTCGGTAGAGCAGAGTTTTTCGAGTTTGTACTGAGAAATCCTTACTCCACTGATCAGACAGTTACCATTCACTGCGATGACAACGAACTCAAGTACGCAGATAAATAAGTTTGTCTTAAACTGCTATCCTCGGAGCGAGTAGATTTACAATCCTATACTGCATTCTAAGTAGCGTATTTTTGCATTTGTGACACCTCGTTTTTACTGATTTGTCGATTGTTTAAAAAGCTCGTTACACAAATATTCGTAGTGTATTCTTGAGTTAGGTTGCTTTAATTACCATCGGAAATGACCGACCGGGTTAGCAGTTTAGGGGCGGAAGAACGTTTTGCTAAAGCGCAAGTAACCTCTCCCCAGTCTCGTCTCACTATTAGTACTGAAAGGCCCCCAGAAGGCTGTTGTGCACGTGTGCAGTGTTCCTCGTCGTCTCAAGAATAAATGTAAGGTAAGATAGAATAAATAGTCATAGCAAAATATCACCCAAACTGTAGCTGGTTACAAAAGCATTTACATAGCACTCCGTTTGGAGTTGAGCCTATAATTCTGAAATTTACTGATCGTCCCGGAATTCTTTTTGTGAATGGTTTATGCTGGTCAGCTAGTTCTAACTGGCAGTAAACGCCTCAAGTGCTATGCCCGATGCAAAGTTAGAACGTAGCTAGCAGAACCGCGCAATCAAATTCAATATTCGTAAGCGTGCTCAAAATCCCGATAGTGTACGCTGACAGCGTCACCAAATCGCTTCGCCAGAAATTTTTTTTTTCGCGCGAGCGGCCATTGTTAGCGCGGGGAAAAAATTAATATATTTCGTGACAACAATGGATACAAACAGAAACTCGGCCTACTAGTCCGAAAACGAAGACAATGTTTCGATCTTTTCCCTTGGGCTTGAGTTCTTAAAAGAGGCAGAAAAAGAGAAAAACAACGGAAAAGGAGACTCGGCATTTGCACCGTCACGACTCGCTTCAACTGATATTATTGTCCGTTTTTCGCGTCGGATTTGATGCACAATTCCACCGGCTATGTTCTAAAACAATTGGTTCATGCTTTCAGCTGTGTATTATCGAGTTATAGAGCACGTGGGAAGTTTGGAGAACACTCAAGAAGCTAGAGTTGCCCTCAGCTATCGCCTCGGGCAACTCTTACGCTTCTTTCGTGCTCTCCAAACTTCCCGCGTGCTCCATAACTCGATAGTGCACGCTAAAGCATGAACCAGTTGTTAATTAACACTGATCCCATTGCATTCCATTCAAAGAAAATGTTTCTCAATATTCCGTTTACTTTCCTTGCAGAGTGATAACAGACACAAGAGAATGGAGACACTTTAAGAGAAAAACAGAGACGCGTTCAGGTGACTGCGGATGCTTTTTGTCACTCGACCGTGTAATTTTGTTTAGGGATTTACTTGAGCTCGTTCGTCACACCTTGCTATTCTTAGTTTTATGTTTAGAGGTAGAGAAAGACAAGGAGGGATTCTGGATCTCAAGTTCGGTTATCTTCTCCGCACATAACTTAAGCTCGCCCTCTTTTTCCGCTCATAACTCTTAAGGTATTGCTAACCCCTGTAATACGCAGTATGTGGGTCACAGATTGACCTCGTCATCGGGCTTTCTCCTCTTTCCATTAAATTGATCTAGTGTTATAACTAGTCAATGGTTCGATTTCTTTTCACACTCATGTTTTTCGGTTGTCCGTACTCACGGCAACTAAATGAACTCTTTACATCTAACAACAGTCTTTATTTTTGCCATATTGTTCTCTATACCTAAGCCGCTGACAAGGAGAACGTGATTTGTTTGTCAATCAAGAGCTTCTTTAGTTGTTGGTCATTTCCTTTATTCTCCTGACCTTTATGTGTGATTCAGGGGTGATTTTGTAAGAAAAAATTATATATTATACTAGTCTCTCTTAGGGATCAATAGGGTTGCGAGTTTGAGCATTTTGATTCACGTTTGTTTCACTGCTCTGGAGGAGAACATGTTTGACACCGCCTCCACCAGCCCGTACCCACAGGTGTTCCTCAGACCCAGGGAGACTGTACATCTCCCGTTCAAGTTCCAGACATTTAGGGCAGATCATAGTGTCCCTGAGCAGGTATGTACATGTCTTAAGTATCTATTTCTTCTCAAGCGCTTTCCATGCATACTTGCTGTAAATTACTTCGTTAGCTCTGTCAGCGGGCAAAATGAAGCGAATCCACTGTTGCGGTTGGTTACCCGCGCGACTCAGGTAGTGTTTTTACAGCAAAAGGGAAAAAAAGTACCCGTAGCGAATTGGACATACTTCATAACTTTAACGCTACCTTTTGTTAAATTGTAAACAAAATAAAATGATTTGATTATTCGATCTCGATTTGTATTCGTGGTAGTTGACTCATGCTTCGCTCTCACCTTCTATCGCGTGATAGAAATCTCACGGTCATACTGGTGAATGCGAAATGTGACAAGATAGATAACAAAAATGATAGATATTCGCGTATACGATGTCCACAAAGTTGTTTTGTCAGGGCAAATTGGAATTTGGAGGCATCAAGTTTTAGCTAAAGGAGAATTTTTGTAAAACGTACGAAATACGTTGGAGGAAAGGTGGCTCAAGAGAATTTATGCCTCAATCGAGAATACAAATGAGATTTTCTTTTTTTCACAGGGTCCATCACACCCGCTAAAACAGCAGGCTCAGACCTATTTAAAGACCAGCATATCAGAGTAAAATAATCTAAAAGCACGCCAGATTAAGGTAATAAAAACTCCAATTTCTTCAGTTGCTATCAAGGTTAATCTTCTCTGGCTTCCGTTATATCTGTCGGTTTTTCGTTACTTCTCTAGCAGTGGTCTTCATTAATGAATTATTTTGTTGAAGTTCACTTTTTTCATGTCGCATTTAAAGCGACATTGCTTAAGGAGCCAGTTATTAGGTATAATAAGGTGTTACCACCTGAATTGATAACGTGAATTGGCCAATGTAAAAATATCTAAAGTTGACGTTTCAAGCGTTAGCCCTTCGTCGTAGCGAATACATGCTGTGAAAAAGCGTGTGGAAAACGTCACGGTTGGGAAATGCTTTATATGCGTACTGCGGAAGACACATAATGGTGATGAAATCCGCGCTGAACTCGACGACATTTACCAAGGGCGGAAAACAAATGATTTTTCAAGCGGAGGAAATATGCAACCGATACTTTAAGGGAGAAAACTCGCGTTTAGCCTTCACTTCACTTCACTTCACAGCTACAAAATCACTTGGTGTAATAATAGACGATAAACTCGATTGGCATAGTCACATCGAAAAACTAACGAAAAAGATCGCCTCTGGTATCGGGGCCCTAAAGCGAATTAGGCGCCTGATCCCAGCATCAACCTTACATCTCATCTACCAAGCTTTAGTAAAACCTCACTTTGATTACTGTGACATTGTTTGGGGTAGCTGTGGGAAAACGCTACGAGACAAACTGCAGAAATTGCAGAATAGAGCAGCCCGTGTGTTGACATTCTCTAACTATGATGCTGATGCAACTGAGCTACTCGAGTTTTTAGGGTGGAAAAATCTTGCACGCCAGCAGGAAATCCATAAAGCCACCATGATGTTTAGATGTCTGCACGGGCTAGCTCCAAGGTATCTATATTCAAAGTTTACGTGGCGTGACTCTGCTTATGACCTCAGGGACTCTGAAAATAAGCTTAATGTTCCACTACCGCGCACTAATTATTACAGAAAAAGCTTTAGCTACAATGGCGCCACATTATGGAACAGTTTACCACGCGATATAAGGAACACAGAGTCTCTGGGGTTATTTAAACGTAAGATCAATGACATTTTTNGAATGCTGTCATCTGTCCGACTAAGAAATTTCATCCCGGCTGCCTGTCTGAAATGTCAGCCAGATATCTTTTTAAATGAATAAAGGCTGATAGTTTCGAAAGAAACTGTTTGGGGCTGCGTCGGTGGGAGTAACGAAATAATTTGGATATATCAACAAAGTTGAAATGGTAAATTGGCCACCGTAACGATTACAAAAGCTGACGTTTCGAGCGTTAGCTCTTCGTCGGAGCGAATGTCATTCGCTCCGACGAAGGGCTGACGCTCGAAACGTTAGCTTTTGTAATCGTTACGGTGGCCAATTTACCATTTCAACTTTGTTGATATATCCAAATTATTTCGTTACTCCCACCGACGCAGCCCCAAACAGTTTCTTTCGAAACTATCAGCCTTTCTCCCTTCCCCACTTGCCAAAATTTGTAGGCTTTTAGCCTACCCATCTGGACGCTTTCGCTACTACGCAATTGAAGATATATCAGAGAGTTAGAAATATTCAGTTATCCCGTTCGATGCACAAGTTGCGTCTCAAGAATTTAAACTGCCACCTTGATTGAAGACCATTGAAAGGTGTTAACTTGTTTTTCCCAGGCGCACCAGTAATGGACGACAACACGCAACCTCAAGTTCACGTACGCTGCAGCGATGTGAATGCTGTTTGTGAAGCTAGAAAGAAGGTACGATCTTACTTATTACGGGTGAAATCGCACTAAGTTTTACCTTTTCCTTACAATAGTAGATAAAATAGACTCTTTTCTCGAATATATCGTAATGGCTGCCGCATAAAATCAGCTGTACAAGGTACGGCTCGACTGTTAATGACGGGGACTAAGTAGTAAGACCTACAGCATGCGAGACGATAAACTCAGAAGAGTGTTATTGCTGCCGTGAATTTGCCCAAGGTTACTTACTGAAGGCTTGTTTTTCGCACGTATTTGAAGATCTCGTAGTTCATAACGGTACCCAAGAATATATCTTCACCCGTGGGCGTTTTGTAACAACATTCTGATTTGAAAGTAACGTGTGAATGTTATTTTTAAACTCTCAAGCCGTCAGGTGAACCTCAGGACGTTTTCCTCAAGATCGCGTGTGGACCCTCTCCTTCTGTTAAGCGGTTTTTCGTTCTCTTATTCATGTAAGTTCTTACGGATATTGGACGATTGCATTCAACGTTCTCTATCAGTGGTAACGAAGTAGAGCGCCTGTCGGGTGAAGTTCGTAAACCAAAGCCAAACTAATTACAACGACCCAACCTGAACAGAGATAAATGTTATAAGGAGCCAATGATAACTCAGAGGGGGTGAGAGGGTCACTATTGGTTGAAGTGTTGTCTCTGATTGGTTACAAAAGTGGCATGGTGTTTTAGCGAATCTCAAATCGTACTTCGGGGTACTTCGAGCTAAAACAACACGCACCTTTCGATATTCAATTGCGCTTTGATGCTCTTTTTACCTTCAATGCGTTTATTCCTACTTTAGAGACCCTTTCCTCGCGGAGCCTTGTCAGACATGGCAGCTATATGTTCATTCATTACAAAGGTAAGAAATACTTTATTTGTACTCCGAAAAGTTTGCATTTAAGGCCTGTCACAAACAGAGAAAAGAAAAAAGCTTAAGTTAGTCAAATGTAAAACTACCTTAACTTAAAAACTGTGCTGGTTTTCTTTAAGACTGGCTTCTGAGAAAGCTTTTGAGAACGCCCAGGTTTTCTTACTTTATTAACCGGTTTCTTGCAGGCCCTACAAGAAACGTCTATTTTAATATGAAATACCCTAGATGAAGATAGCAGACGCGTAAATTTTAGAACTGATAAGATACGTATTTTAATTTGAATTCTTTGAACTCGAAAATATTTATTAATAAAGTAAACTTAATTGAAACAGCTTCCCATGTGTTCTTTCTATCGAATAACTGAAATTCGGATAGGTAATAATGCCCAAACGATCGGCCTGAAAATGCTGATTAGCAAAGTTGCATCTGTTGAATAAAATGTAGAGAGATAACTACATATCTGTCGTCACAAAACGAATGCACACAGGTATCTACGAGTTTTTTTTAAATCAAATAGAAGTCCGTCTTGAAAATTCATTGAGTGTGCATTCGTTTTGTGGCGACAGATATGTCAGTAGTTTTCTATTTACAGGGCCGATCAACTCGAAGCTTCAACATCTCCCCCCGGCAATTAAACTTTTGAAGATTGGTTCGTTCAAATTCCCGCCCCCATTGTCATTGCCTAAGAATGTTTACTACTCATTTGTTGGGACACCTACTGCCTCCCCTGCCACTCTCGGTGTTGGTCTGTAAGATGGCATGGGAACTTTTGAGATTAACAATAATGAATAGGGAAGAAGGGTGACAGAACATCACAGACGTTGCTTTGGAGAGGTGTTCTATTTAGTTTTGCCTGGGACTGTAGCTTCTTGACCCTTTACACCCTAATATCAGTATGCATATTCTCCATACTGTTCTCTATACATTTCCTAGGGCGCTGACAAAGAGAACTTGTTTCCTTTATTATAGTGACCTTGTTGTGTGACGAGGAGAAATTAGATGTTAGTCAATCTTGCGGATCAAAGGTTTAAGGAGCCGTTATTGTTTAGTTTGTCCTTCTAAGTAATTTCTAAAATTTGAAAAGAACATATGCATAATATAGTATCAAAACGTTAGATAAAGACCGGTGTCCTAGCGGATTTGGACCCCCCGGTCCAAATCTGCTAGCGAATTTGGACCCCCCGGTCCATATCCGCTAGCGGATTTGGATCCCCGGGATCCGTATCTGCTAGCGGAATTTTACTCCCCTCCGCGGATTTGGACCCCATTAACAAAACTGAGTAAAAACATTACCATACATAATTTTCTAATAGAAATAATAATTCAGAAAGAAGGCTTTCAAAGAATGTTTTTTCAGAAGTAGGTTTTTATTTTAAAACATACGCGTAGACGTTATCTTTTTCTCAGCATTGCGTCTCAATTTAAGATTTTCGTTAAATTAACCTGCAGCTGTAAGTTTGTTGTCTACCGCTGGAATGAAAACGAAACTTAAATTTTGAAATCGTTTGTTTAACATTTCTCTTGAAAAAGTGTGAAATATAAAACAATAAAAACTGTTGAATGCGTCAAAGCTTCAATTATTGTTTGTTTTGCTTCTGTTAAATACCGATTGCTCGAATCTCGCCTTTTCGAAACTTCCGCTAACTCCAACCAAAAGCCTTTAGTCAACGCAATTTTTCGAAATAAGCATTATTTAAATAAATGTGTCAGAAATGAAACGATATGTGCGCTTTTCTTCGTCAATTATAGTACGCAATCTTGTGTTGAAATTATAACGGACATCGCCTAAAAGCTTGCAGTTGGAATAAGTTACGAATAAGGAATGTTTAGTGGGGGGTCCAAATCTACGAAGGGGTTCCAAATCCGCTAGCGGATATGGACCAGGGGTCCAAATCCGCTGTGACACCGGCATGGGAAGGCAACTCCTTTGAGAAGAATACATAGGCCTTCTATGTCGTCACAAATACTTTTCTGTTCACATCTCCACACCGGTGCTGCAACCAGGCGAGGTAGGTCTTGCTTTTCGACACGAAACTCTGCTTTGCATTCGGCGGAGTTCATAGAATCCAGGTCGAATCCCTCGTAGTTTCCATGAGGAAATTCGGGATTTTTTGTTTTGAAGGTATAGTAGAGCAGTGAAAACTCTTCATCTGAAACAATGTTATCGCCGTAAAGAAGAATAAGCAAGTCACAAAATTCTTTAAAAGACATTTTCCTATTGACTGCCACAGAAAGCTGCAGTAAAGGATTCGTCCACGTAACAGGTGTGCGAAAGTGTTTATGTTTCCCGCCGTGGACGACGGTCCCGTCTCAGGCCTCAATCGGTCATATACGTCGTCGTCCACGTTCTCATCGTCAGTGCTAAAGGTCCCTATGATACTCCATACCCGAACAACGAAATATGTTAGACGGAGCAGATGGCAGATGCATGATAAAATACAGAATAGAGGTNTGTTTGTGAGGTGTTTGTTAGTGAAGACAAGCTTTACTTTTACTAGTTTATCAGGTTCGACGGCTAGGAATAGATTAACTGATTACAAGTACTTTTAAGTTGAGAGGAAATTGAATGTTTTATTGTATCATAGTTTCTTATTTACTTTGAAATGTGTCTTAGTATAATCATAAGTTAGCTAGATACTATTTTGTTAAGTACACGACCCCACAAGCTTTTTAGCTTTAATTCTTATCGTGTATAAATAAAGATTCTACTACTACTACTACTTAATACCAGCGGCTAGCGTTTTCGCCGGCTACTTTCAGCAGGCAAAGCAGTAAGATGCTTTTGTTGACCTCAAATAACTTTTAAACTGTGCTGGTTTTCTTTAAGACTAGCTGCGAAGAAAGCTTTTAAGAACACGCCCTGGTTTCCTTACTTTTTCAACCGGTTTCTTGCAGGCTCCACAAGAAACGTCTATTTTTATATGAAATGCCCCCAGGTGAAGATAGGAGACGCGTTAATTTTAGAACTGATAAGATACATATTTTAGTTGAATGGTTTGAACTCGAAAATATTTATTAATAAAGTAAACTTAATTGAAACAGCCTCCCATGCGTTCTTTCTGTCGAATAACTGAAATTCGGAGAGGTAATAATACCCAAACGATCGGCCTGAAAATGCTGATTAGCAAAGTTGCACCTTTTGAATAAAATGTAGATAGATAACTACATATCTGTCGCCCTAAAATGAATGCACACACAGGTATCTACGAGTTTTTTATATCAACTAAAAGTCCGTTTTGAAAATTCATTGAGTGTGCAGTCGTTTTGAGGCGACAGATATGTCAGTAGTTATCTATCTACAGGGCCGATCAACTCGAAGCTTCAACATCTCCTCCCGGCAATTAAACGTTTGAAGATTGGTTCGTTCAAATTTCCGCCACCATTGTCATTGCCCAAGAATGTTTACTACTCATTTGTTGGGACACCTACTGCCTCTCCTGCCACTCTCAATGTTGGTCTGTAAGATGGCATAGGAACTTTTGCGATTAACAACAATGGCCGTTTTCACACTAGGGGACGGACAAATCGTCTGGCATTTGTTCGTCGAATTTGAATTCGAGAAGGCCATATGCCGAAAAGTTGTCCGTCTTTCGAGCGCAAAGAGAACAGGCACTAGGTCGTGTAGTAAAGCAAAAAGGCTGCTGCCATGTTGAAACTTCCCAAAAAACCTCGCTCTTTTGCTGGTCCCATTTCCTCGCGGCGAGAAAATCGAACATTTCACCGTCTGATATAAATTTAAGTCGTACTGTCGTCGACTTATTCGTCTCGACGGACAAATCGTCTTCAAAAAATCGTCTTTCCAGACGGCCAAATATCAGACGATTTGCTCGTCTAAGACGATTTGTCCGTCCAGACGGCTTGTCCGTCCTCTAGTGTGAAAACGGCCAATGAATAGGGAAGAAGGGTGACAGAACATCACATACGTTGCTTTGGAGAGGTGTCCTATTTAGTTATGCCTGGGACTGTAGCTTCTTGACCCTTTACACCCTAATATCAGTATGCATATTCTCCATACTGTTCTCTATACATTTCGTAAGGCGCTGACAAGGAGAATTTGTTTCCTTTATTCTTGTGACCTTATTATGTGATGAGGAGAAATTAGATGTTAGTCACTCTTGCGGGTCAAAGGTTTAAAGAGCCGTTATTGTTTAGTTTGTCCTTCTAAGTAATTTCTAAAATTTAAAAAGAACATATACATAATATAGTATCAAACCGTTAGATAAAGACCGGCTTCACGTAACTCGTGCAATAATTAAAGAGGGCAAGAACGATAGCACTATTAGAAGACGCGCTTACAGGAAACTGGAAACTAACGTAGAAGCCATACCGTTACTAAAAAGTGGAAATTCTACAAACTTTCATCAGAAATTCTGCAAATTGAAAATTAGATTAGTTAAGAACAAAAGAAACAGTAGTAAATACACAATTCTACAAAGCAAAGAGATAGAGGCGATAGAATGGCAAACGCATTTGATGAAAAGTTGACCATTTATCGCTAATTTATTATTCGACCAGCATTAAATGAAACTGTGTTTAAAGTATTAAACTTCAAGAATAAACCGGACTTTCGTTATTTCTTTTGCCTTCCAAAACAAAATAAATTTCTAAATGCGTCCATCCGCAGCGGTGTAAATTCATGGCGATAGACTAGCATCCCGTGGAAGTTTTTAATGCAATTCACAACAAATAAATTGACAAAAAAATGCTTGTATTTTACTTGTTTATTGTGGTAACTTGTTTCAGTCGACAAAGAGATACTTCGATGGATGTCTTGAATTGTTCTTCGGGAGCTTTGGAAGTTGCAATGGTGTAAACTGAGTGGGGCCTGAAGAAATTGGTTGTAGTACATTTCACATGAAAACTCACAGAATTGCGGTATCAAAGGAATTTGCATTTCTCAACCGTTGGTCAACCTCGTGCCGTATCCAGTTTCTTCGTTTCCTGCTAAGTGACAGTGACGTCATCATTATCTTGAACATCGCTAGGTTCTGTATAAAAAAAGGTTGCTGTCAGTCTGGAGATACCTAGGCTCAAATATTGTCCGAAGCGCTCTAATAAAGATACCCCACCCATCTGTGCTCATAGGTAAGGGACTCAAAATGACCCAATTGATAGAGATTCTGTTGTGCTCTTCGTACTTCACTTTGTCGGATCGGCACGCCTATTAATCCTGGCAAGGGCATAACATTTTCTCCCATTATGTTAGAAACGTCAATCGCAGCCTCTGGCATGACTTCTAAATGGGCGTTTCCTAACTAAGTGGTTTAAAGCATTCAATCGTAAGTTGTAGACAAATGGAATTAAACTGAATTTTTTTAAAGCTTTCAGATCTGAAATAAAGTTTTACCCCTAGTTATCTAAACCCACTATTGAATAAGTTCCACACCTTTGGCCCATAGTTCCAAGGCTCCGATTGAGTACAAATATCCCGCGATATTGTACAGTTATTGCCAACGAGTAGTTGGTTATTTTCTATTGGAAAAAAAACTTGTTTGACATGTTGACCATCTTGCATGAGTTGTTTCAAAGAGGAAAAATGGACAATATTTTAGCAGTGTACTACATACAAAATAAAGCAGTTGGATGATTAACTTATTACCGGTATACGTTTTAGTGTGTAGCGTATCGGAGTATATTTACTCATTGTTTGTATTTTGATTCACCCTGCGCGCTCGTCAAAATATGACACAACTCGTGAAAGTACTCAGCGATACTACAAACCAAACCGTCTAAGAAGATTTATGTACTGTACAATAAAACTTAGTGTGATCATAAGGCTGTTTCGTTTTTGCTTTATCAAAATCCAAGGGAATTACAGATTATGATAACTTTGTCCAGCAATGGATTTCAGTTTTTGGAAAAAGAGCTAGTTGTTCCCTTGACCGGAAGTAAAGGGGTCTGAAAAGGACTGGCCCCTAAATAATATTTGAAAGAATGGTATACCAGTGTCAATCTATGACGCAAGATAGCTGACATGAAATACGCCTATCAGCGACGAGTGTAAGGCCACGTGGGCTCGGAAGATGACAAGGCGCGCTTTTCAAACCTTTCCATTCAGACAGCAACACGTGTAAAGATGGCAGACAGCATTAATCTTCCGAAAGAAGAAGCTAAGAAATACTTCTCCTTCAAGGCTCAGACGGTGGTGAAACCAAACAAAACTCACGAATTGGAAAGAAGAATGAGGAAAACTGGTAAATTACTATTTTTTTTTAAATAAGTTTTCCCTTGTATAAAAATGGAAACATAATTTCATAAATAAACGTGTTGTAAGGAGGAACTTGTTCGCTCCGGAAAATTCATTTTTTACGCTAATAATAATAATCGCATTAACAAAGATTTAGTAATACATAGACAGGTAAAAACGAGCGATATAATATCCCGACGTTTCAGCGACTTCATGACGCCATTATCAAGGGTACAAATGAAAATAAAATTAACAAATGCGAGTTCAAGAGTTACAACTAATTTGCATTGGGGAGGTAGCTACATAAATACTTTAGCACGGATAAAATCCGTTTGCACATTCAAACTCGATGTTGATTGTTTGATGTAAAGCATCTCGTTGACAAGACAATCGAATTTGTTCATGCACTTCTTGAGAACTTTACCCACGCGGACATTTATATGCCCGCGTGGATAGCCATGAGAGCACGTCATCTTCAGTACGCAAGAACTACGACAACAGTCATTGTCATTGTCATTGTCATTGTCATTGTCATTGTCATTGTCATTGTCATTGTCATCGTCATTGTTCGGCCAAATGGATATGATCAAATGCGCATCACAACACTTTTCGGGGGACTTTGGCCGGACTGCATCAGCAGTTTACAAACAATCGAAGGAAACTTATTTGAAGATACCCCATCCCCCCAATTCCCAATAAACAGGCCAGACCACATCACAGCAATCTCGTGAGTGGGTTTTTTAACGTCTCCTGCCTAACCAAATTAACTAATTAATAGATGCAGGAGACGGGACCTACGGTTTATTCGTCCTTATCCAAGAAGACTAGAATGTCTATCCATTTGTTATAGAAAGGCAGCGCATTCTCCTCAGTTATTTTAAGACCTTGAGTGTTGGTCCGGCCGGGGCTCGAACCATCGACCTCGACCTCCCGCACAACAGTCCAGCGCTCTTACCAATTGAGCTAACCGGGAGGCGCTAGATGAAGGTTGGTTAAGACATTCTTTGAAACAGAAATGAGCTCATTTTAATTTCGGTTTTCGTTACAGAACTTACCCAAAGAATCGCTAACTTCTCGGCTTTCTTGCATTCGTCAAATGTAAATGTTGCAGCCGCGAAAGATGAGACACGCTACACAAAACATAAAAAGAGGTGATTAATTATCCGTTGTTTCATACATCACAATAGAATTTTCAGCAAGTCAAACAAGATGATTAAGACTTGAGAATAATTTATAGAATAATTTTATCAAAAGTTAAAAAACATCCAGAACACTTTCAGTCGGGAACGGCACCGGTTTGGCGCGAAAAACCCGTGCAGCATGTTTCCGAAACGTCTCCAACTTTTTACCCGAAAAATTGAATAATTTCATTTTTAAAAAAATTTGCTGAGTCAAACGAGGTATTTGACTGCAAAATAGGGCAAGAGTTCCATATAACCCCCTACATTAATTCTGCATTCCATTTCCTAAAGACTAAATATAAAGGTTTCTTTGCAACACTCTATGCATAATTATTGTCTGGGGTTATATGGAACTCTTGCCTAGTCCTTTTTGCGTTCTTTTTCCGTTCACATGTAAGTGAAAGTTATGTATTCGGCTTCTCCTTCAGATCTTTAAGCAACAAAGCACAGTCGTTAGGTAAAGATTTGAAACATCCACTGGTCACTCATATTTTTCTTTTTTTTTAATTCTTTCATCCTGTTGCTTGTTAAATTTTTTTCGGACGCCTTGTTGTTTCTAAAACCGCTAATTCGGTCGATCTTCCCAGCCTCTTAAGTAAATCGCCACCGTTTTTAAAGTACCCCTTCAGACCTTTTTACTCACAAAAAAATATGTGGCAAGATTTCCGTATAACCCCATACTTCATTATGCATACAATTCTTGGATAAAAGAAAACAGAGGTAAAACAACAGATAACCTTCAGGAATTCGGCTTTGTTTTTGATTGGTATGGGGTGATACGGAAATCTTTCCAAATATGACTTGTTAGCGAAAAAATGAAAATATTTTTTGAAAATAGCCAACTCTTTTTGTTTGTTTTCGCTGAATGTTTGCTCAGATTTCTTCCTGTCGTTCATTTTCAGTCGGTTTTTCTCTACTTTAAAATTTTTTTTTTTTGAAACGAGGGCATTCGCTAAGAATCAATTCGTCATAAATCAACCTTCGTAGGGCAAAAAAATTAATACAACTGACATACCCTCTAAAAACGTTGCGTTTTCTATTGGGGTAATCAAATATCCATAACCTTGTTAAGATAGTTACTATTCTTGTTTGAGGTTATGCTTTGGTCTTATCTGCACTCTGTGCATGGCTCCAGTGGTAATTTCTAGTATTTTTCAAGAGATACTTGTCTTTAAAACGGCTGTTTTGCGTTGCCAATTTATCATTCATTCATTGAAGCACATTTCAGACAGTCTGTCATTAATTAATACTTCCGTCCATGTTCAGTCCCCCTATTATTCATTCATTCATTCATCCACCATTCATATTTCACTCTTTCATACTTGCGTTAATTAATTCTTACATCCACTTCCTCATTAACACCATAAAGTATAAATAAATCATTAGTTGAATTTTTTTTTTCGTTTCAGTATTACCCTCTCCCTGCTGATTGCATCCAAGTTCGTTTTCTATCTGGTCCAGCCACCATACCACTAAAGCAAAAGTGTACCAGTTGGACTCTGGTGAGGACATTTTGGGAAGTGGGAAATTGGATTGTTGGAAGATGAGACCTAAGGTTTCTCTTCACTCCTTTTTGATTTCCACTACATCTTAGGATTTATTCACAGATGTTCAACTGGGAAAGAAGATACCGATGGAAGACAAATACAAACTGGTTAGCTCATTCCTTTATGGGTTGGCAGGGAGGGTTATTAGTTAGAGCTCTGGATGAACCTTGCATCAAATTTGGGCTCGAAGTCCATGGACTTCACATTCGGCTTAATCTAATGTAGTTAGGTTAGTTGGGTCCCCATGGGTTGGATGGGTCCTCCCTTAAGGTCTCTTCATTGGGTTCCTTTTCAGGTACTTTCGGTTTCGGTTCGGCATAGGTACTCGGTTTAGGTTCAGATAGGTTTCGGCTTTGGATCATACTTCCGCATCAACTTCAAGACAACAACTCTTCGACTGCTTCGACAGAAGCATTGAACTACAATGGCTCTTCTATGCTCATCACAAGCTTCTTCAGCGCTTAAGCTACCACTTTGTTGTGCGCTGAAAAACTTTTCATTAAAGTTTCACTATATAGCAGCCACACCAAGGACTGGCATCCAGTGAGACTGTCATCCAAATTATGCCTTAAAATTCATTATGGCAAAACCATTTTGGCCAAAAGGTTCAACCAGACATTTATTTGCTGTAAGTAACTGGAGATTTTTAAGCGATTCAGCAGGGGGAGTATGCCCATTTGCTACTTCTATCCTGTTTAATGGTTTAGCTCCAGTTGAAGCCACCAGTCAAGGCTTCATTTAGTGGGAAATAGGGGAAAATAACACACATCACAGTCTAGGTCACAAAAAAAAATTAAGCCAATTGTACATTTCATTATGATGGCTTGAAAGCTGTCAGTCAAAATTTCAGGCCACTGTTTTGTTTCAAGTTTACAACACAGGACAATTATCTTATTATGTCATCCAAAATTTGTAGAGAAAGCAGTTCATTGCCAAACATCACAAATCAGTCCTGAGGATGGATCAGCAGAGAGGATATAGCTTTTGAGTTAAAACATTGGCCAATATCGAACTTCAGCTTTTTTTAAACATACTTTAAGCCAATTTTCTTGACACTACAGCAAACCTGCTGTCAGCCAAATTTTTGTAAATAATATTGACTATGGAGCTATCATGGATAAGGTAAGTTCAGCAGGTATGTAAAAGCTTTCAATTAAGTTCCTTCGGCTTTCCGGCACTTTTGAAACTCACGATTGTCATCATTTTCAGCTTTCAGTTTGAAATATAATTGGCATCCAATTAACTATGCTAATTACAGAGGCCTGGTAACAATAATCACTACTGTTAGCAGGCTGCATGTGATCCATATACTCTATCTGGGACACCCTGAGTGTTCCTTGCAGGTGTCAACATTTACTGACACAGAACACTAGAGGTTTCCTCAGATGCTAATGTTTTCACTTAGGAATGCGCATCCCATCCATAGACACAACTTAATATAGAAATGATGTAACATTTTAAAAATAGTAAATAAAAAAAGAAAAGCATGTGTCTGTGTCCATTTTTGTACAAATAAACAAAAAATAAAACAAACATTCTTTTTTCAGGACAAATTTTTACTTTTCGGCTCATAGTGTAAACTATGCAAAATACATACTGGATAAATCTACTAACTAAACAATTTTTTTTCAGGATGATAAGAAAAACATAGGTCACAGTGTAAACGTTTGAAAACAATAAAAACCATAAAGACCAGTGTCTGAGTAGTTTTTTTAAACATTAGATAAAACTAGTAACTGCTTCCTTTTTTTTTCAGGGCTGTTTCACTAAACATAATTTCAAATCTACTAACATTTTAATTTCAGGATATTTAGACTAGATTCATCATGTAAAAGTGGTCCAAAAACAATAAAACAAAAAAAAACCTGTGTGTGAGTCATTTCATCATAGTAAAAAAATTACTAACAAAGTTTACTTTTCAGGACATAGAAAGACTAGTAGTGTTTCATTTGAGCCTATTTCAGGAGCACATTTATCCAAGAATTATGCCTCTTTTGGGGCATTCCCACAACTACTAGCAAGGTGAGGCTTGACAATGATGTGTATTTGGGAGGAGGAGAAACCAGGTGAAGAGATGATTATTTTTAAGGGTGTTTATTGTTTCAATTGGTCTAAATTCTTGTGCAGCTGACTGCCAAGTAAGACTGGAAAAATATGACTTGTTGGAGAAAATGCTTATAGACTGAGAAAAAAATTCCTACTCTGTTTTTCACATACTAAAGTGAGCAAGATAAAGAATACAAATATGCCAAAAGTATATAACAGGTCAGACTACATGCCTATTTTTGTTTTCTCAGTAGCATATAAAATCCATAAGTACACAAAGGCACAACACTGTGTGGTCAAATTAAAGACACTGAAATCAAAAAAGGAACACAGGATCCTGATACTTGAAGTGATATTTAAATTTAGAGTAATTACTCAAACCAGTAGAAAAATAAGAAAATTAGACAACAGTATCTTAAAAAGAGAAAGGAAAACAATGGCTAGATCTTCATAAATTGAACAATCGACCAAAAACACTGTTTGTGCATAAGAGTTTTTGGATGTATGCAAAGAGGTCTGTTAACTATATTAATTTAGATTGCTTGAATTACTTGCTTTATTGAGAAGTGTGCAGTTATATTTTATAGCTTAAACCAGGAACTTGTGTGCTTACTATGGACATAGCTGCAGGTCTACAAAAGCAATCTCAACTATCGCACGTCACTCTGAACCAAGGGCCATTGAATAGCAACACACTCTTTTAAAACTATCCAAGTTGCATGCAACCATCGCTGCTCCTCTTGCAGAGATGACAACATGAACGACACATCCAACTGCACATATGGTCCTACAGCACACTTCAAAGATACTAATTGGCTGAGATGGTCACAACAAACCACCTGAAGGCTGCACATTGGAACCCACCTGCCAAAGAAAAGCACCAAGGTTCCTTACCACACAGCTGATCACAACAGGCAAACTGGCAAAAATGAGTAGCAGGAGAGCATTTCGCTTCCAATTTTACACATGACTTAACAAGCTAATTTGAAGTACAAAAGCCACTGAAGAGCAACACACTGTCCCACAACTCAGATGAGTGTAAGAGGTCACCCTGAGCCACAGAAAAATGACACACTTACAGGAATACACAGGTTCTATAGAAGAATACCAAAGTTCTTACCAATTTGCCACTGCAAAAGGCACCTGGAGGAATGCACCCTATGGGAGCACTTAACTTCTAAAAGATTACTCACCAAGCCAAGATAACTTGCTCCAAGAACTTCAAGAACATAAGCTTTCCAGCAAGACACTATTATTCATACATTTCACCACACCTGCCCAATAATCAAAAAGAGGAAAAATTAATAAAAAGCTTAAGCCTAATTCTTACAAGATATCAACTGCACTTTTGAGAATCTCGCATCCTGACTTCACAAGTTCCAATAAGTTGCAACAATAAGCCACAGAAGAGCATGGCACATCCTGCCACACAAATCCAACACACTCCATTCCAACTAAAACTTCATCCTTCTTACAAGATATCAACTGGAATCAATGAGAAGTACTTTTCAGAATCTTGAATCCTACCACACTGATCAAAACAACCCCCCTCTGAAGACTACAGGAACATATATGTTAATCACACATCCTCCTAAAATCCTAATCACACATCCTCCTTCGGCAGTCTAAATCCCACCGGGATCAATGAACGCTTTTCATTCCACTAATTTAGTCATGTTTTCTCGCTGCCATGTTCCCACCAATAACATAGCTCCATTTTCTGCCTTTAAAAGCACACACAACCCACAATTCCACTATTTGCTCCGATGAAGGGTTAACGCTCGAAACGTCAGCTTTTGTAATCGTTACGGTGGCCAATTTACCATTTCAACTTTGTTGATATTTCCAAATTATTTCGTTACCCCCACCGATGCAGCCCCAAACAGTTTCTTTAGAAACTATCAGCCTTTACTCCTAAAAAAAGATATCACTTCAACAATACTACTGACTTCACAAGCCCCAATAAGTTGCAACAACAAGCCACAGAAGAGCATGGCACATCCTGCCACACAAATCTAATTTGCTCTATTCCAACTAAAAAAGGCTTCACCCTTCTTACAAGATATCAACTGGAATCAATGAGAAGTACTTTTCAGAATCTTGAATCCAACCCCACTGATCAAAACAAACCCCCTCTGAAGGTTACAGGAACATGTATGTTAATCACACATCCTTCCAAACAGATGTCACTTCTGCAATACTACTGACTTCACAAGCCCCCAATAAGTTGCAACAACAAGCCACAGAAGAGCATGGCACATCCTGCCACACAAATCCAACCCACTCCCTTCCAACTAACAGAAAGCTTCATACACCCTTCTTACAAGATATCAACTGAAATCAATGAGAAGTACTATTGAGAATCTTAATCCAACCACACTCGTTTGATGAAAACAAACCCCTCTGAAGATTACAGGAACATATATGTTAATCACACATCCTTCCAAACAGATGTCACTTCTGCAATATTTCTCACTTCAAAAGCCCCAATAAGTTGTAACAACAAGCCACAGAAGAGCATGGCACATCCTGCTACTAAAAACCAAAACACTAAGAAAAAGCTTAAACCATCTTATGATATTAACTGGAAACCCATGAGTAGTACTTTTCAGAATCCCAAATCCTACCACACCGATAAAACAAACGCCCTCTGAAGACTACGTACAGGACCATAAATGTTAATCACACATCCTCCCAAACAGATGACACTTCTGCAGGCTGTACTACTGGCTTCACAAGCCCCAATAGCTTGAAACCAAAAGCTACAAAGCATGGGCATTGCACACCCTACCACGCAAATCCAACACACTCCATTCCAAGGTAATAGTCACTAAAGAACATCTTACTTCCTTCTACACAGTGGCAAGAAGCCACCTTGAATTAATGGCCACTCTAAATATTCATATTCATATTCAGACATCCTAATCCACAACCACAGCTCCAAACAATGCGGATGACAACAAACTTCCTTGAAGCAGTTACGATCATCAAATTTCTTAACACAAAGATGACAATAATGACAACCAGAAGCAAGAGTTAGTAAGGATCAGTTTCACTTCATGACAACCAGCCATCGTAAGGGTCACAGAAGACCATCACACTTCTTACTAAATCGATGACAACAAGCTATCTTGAGGTGAGGGCTACCACAGACCAAACAGATTCTAGACCAGCAAACTTCCTACAAAACAGATGAAAAGCAACATTGCAGCCATGTTTACTTAAAATCCATCATGATAATATATGACAACACACGAGATGCCACCTTCAACTACATGTCCACTCAACGCAATTCACTGCCTCCCACTGGTAAAGAAGTCAAAGATGACAGAAGACCATCAGAGTCACTACTTCACAGCTAAAGAACCATGTTAAACCATGAAGTTACCAAAGGCTTTCTCATGCACTCTTCTTTTAACACAAATTGAAGCAAAATACACAAGATCATTACAATTTTTAACATGCAGGTGAGGGCAACCAAGAGATGTCAGACTGTGCCTCATAGAACACAGGTGACAACCCAATTTAATTACAGCAACAGCAACTTGAGAACATCACCCTCACACTAATTCCTTTCTCATAGATAACATCAGGGCACCATAACACGAAGGCGACAGAGGAGCATCATTTTCACCACCACACTAATAGCAAACTATAGCTTGATCAAACGCAACTCAAAGCTTACTTGATTCTACAGAGATGATAAGTCAATTTGAAGCAAAGACAGAAATAAACAATCAAATCTTCTACCACAGTGATGAAAACAAGCACTTGAAGCAAAGACAACAGATGACTATCACCTTTACTTCAAAAACAATTAAAAGCCACTTTGTTGAAGACCATATTACAGTTATAAAACACAGAGATGACTAAGCACATTAAAGTAATGCGAACTGGAAACCATCCTGCATCTTTCATAGTAAAATCCATGTAACTTTAGGACCACAGAAGAGCAGCACTCTCCAAGGACACACAGATGACAACCAGCTTAAGTCGAATATGCATGCAAAGATAATCTTTCTTCCTCCAACACAGAACACATACGGCCATCTTGAAGTAAGGGTCACAGAAACAAACAAAACTATAAGATGAGAAAAACCCTTTCTACCACTAAGATGGCCACAGTGAAGCATTGCTTTCAAGACTAAGTAGATGACTCAACTTTCCATTATGAAGGGAAAAAAGAACAGAAGAGCATCAGACATCATCCCTTGGATTATAAGAACCCACCTTAAAGCAATTATGCCACAGAAACCCTCTCACTTCCTTGGTTTTCACCCATTTTCCGTGTTAGTTCTTCCTGCTTCTTTAGCCTTTCAGTGCACAAGTGTCTAGCTTCTTCAGTGGTTTTCCACCTGTTTTGCTGTACTGTTTTTGTCCACAAACCCTTAATCTAGCTCTCAGCATGGCATGATCAGTAACACAGTCCACTCCTCTCATTGCTCTGGTGTCCAATACATCCTTTGTGTCTCTCTCTTACCATGATGTAGTCTTACAAGTGTCAGCGCCTAAATCTTGGGTGTATCCATAACTTCTTGTGTGTCTTTGTGCTCAAATAAGGTTTGGCTACCACAAGGTTGAACTCTGAACATAGTACAAGTAGAAGTTCTCCATTAGCATTGCACTTGGTTACTCCATGACTGCCAAGCACTCCTTTCCATTTCTCAGTGTCTGAACCAACTCTAGCATTAATATCCCCCATGAGTATAATCAGCCAGTCATCAGACAGTACACACCCAGTTGTCTCGCATAAGTCACTATAGAATTCTTCCTTCACCTCCTCTGTGTTGTCATTGTTGGGGTATACACACTGAAAGTGGCATTACATTGCTATAGTGGGAGTCTCATATTGGTTCCTCGTCAAGCATTGCTGTTATCACCTTTGTAACCATAAAGCCTACTCCTGCTTCTCTCCTTCTTGAGTTGGTTTCCCACTCCAAAGAAAATGTACCTACAATCTACCAAGCTGTCATATCCAGGCAATCTTGTTTCCCTAAGCACAGGTGTGTCTACATTTAACCTGTTCATTTCCAAGGTCACTAGGGCAGTCTTCTCTCTGGGCACTGTGATGTTGGCCTGTCAAGAAGTGTGTGTGTATTCCATTCTTCTACACATAAGGCTGCTGTTTTCCTCGTCTTCTCCCTGCCTATTCCTAACATAGTTTTTGGAGTGAAAACAGATCAGCACAGACCATTTCAACCCAATCTACGTCTGAGCTGGCATAAGTAGTTTTCTGACTGACCATTTTGTGAAACTGCTTGCAACAGCAGCATATCATTGGCAGATATCAGTGTGATCAATAGCAAGGATAGGTCAAGACAAATTGACTCCAGTATCTGTTGCAGTAACTGACCAGATAATAGGTTTGTTGATCTCTGCTCTCTGCATAGTGTATGTCACAATGCACTGACTGGTAAAAGTCCCCCATAGACCTTGCAATAGATGTTTGCACTTCCTGAAATACATCTGAGTGGTCATCACTGTCAAGAAAGTGCTACCTGACATAACTCCTTTTCATCATACATGAGAGAGACTCTCAATTCCAAAGACCTGTCAATGCCAGAGAACTCAAAACCAACTGCTACTTCCTTTGTACAGGTTTACATTCAGAAATTCCATCTCTGCAAAGTTTCCTCAACAGCACCCCTATATGCAGTTGTCATTTTCTTGCAATCTGCTGTTTCTAACTTGCTGTCAGTAGGACTTCTAAATCCTTTAACAACTTCTCTTTTAGAGGGTACTCTACCTCTTTCTCTAGGTATACCTCTTACCTGTTCCAGAGTTCTATATTTGTTCTGTCATTTCTGTCTTGTATTGAGCAACAGAGAGTGAATGTTCTTTGATCCATAGAATGGGAACTTACTTTAACAAAGGTATTTAACTTTTAATGGGATTCAAACCCATGAAACACTGTCTTGCACTGAGTAACAGATAGTGATACTTTGGTCAGCGGAAAGGGAATTCACTTAAACAAAAGTATTCAAATCAAAAAAGGGATTCAAACCCATGAAAGACTGTTGTACTGAGCAACAGACAGTGAAAGTTCTGGGTAGGTAGAATATTAACTCACCTAAGCAAAAGCATTTAACTTTTAATTTTTAACGAGATTCAAACCCATGAATGACTGTCTTGCACTGCATAAAAGACAGAAAATTCTTTAGTCAGTAGAAAAGTCTCACTTTTGCAATCAAATCCATGAAACACTGTCTTTGCACAAGGTAGTGGACAGTGAGAGTTCATTGGTCAGTAGAAAAGGAACTTTCTCTACCAAAGGCATCTAGCGCTTAATGGGGTTCAAACCCAAGAAGCACTTTATAGAACAGAGCAACAGATGATAAAAGTTCTTTGATTGATAGAAAAGGTACTCACTTTAGCAAAAGTATTTAAATCTTAATGGGATTCAAACCCATGAAACACTTTCTTTTACAGGGTAACAGACAGTGAAAGTGCTTTAATAGAAAAATGATGTAACTTAATCCATAAGCATTTTAAACTTAATGGGATTCAAACACATGAAAGTGACATTTTAAAGACTTTAAGTATGACAGTTGAGAAAGCATTGCAACAAAAAGTATTTTGTACAAATCACACAATGTGCTATAAGGTTTCTTCACAGTGGCTACGGATGAATGTGAAGCAGTCAATCAGAATTCCCCAGATCAATCTTTGCTTGTTGCCAAATTGACCAAGAAAACTACCAGTACATATGCTGTCAGGGCCAGGGATAAAACAAGTACTAGACTAAGTGTACAACCTACATCCTGGACAAGCAAGCATAAGGTTGGTGATACTATCAAAAAGTTTTGAATTGCATGCATAATAGGAGTTGGAGGTAAACAAATTAAATTTGATCAGGATATCACTATGATAATCATAAACTGCGAGTTAAAATGAACAAGAAGGGAAGAAGTTTGAAACAGTTCACTGTAAATATTGTTTTTTAATTGAACTCAAGTTAATTCAGGATATACACTAATACATTTATTACTAATAAGAATTAAAACAATTTATTATTTATTTAAACAATTTATTCACATTTGTTTACTTTTGTTTAGTCCTCAGTTTCATAATTATGTACCTGGACAGTGTGTTCATTCATCTAAACGCTGGCTTGACAAAGGAAGATTGCTTGCATAGCTGGTTAAACAAACCTGTAGGGATAATAAGACACCCCTGGTTATGACTTTAAATGTAAGAAAAACAATTTAAAATGACTAAATAAAGGCTAAGAATAGTGGTTCACAAGTAGAAAAAGGAATAAGGCCTATTGATTCAAGCCCTCAGTTTCAAGTATGTGGAGTGTGATTGAATCTAGATGCCATGATGACTTTTACCTATCACACTAAAACAAACTAGACATCATGCTGGGAACCTGATGCCAAAACACAACTTTATTTCTCTGAGTATACTGGCAAGCCTTTCTTTCAAATTTGTGAGCTACATATTAAAATGAGAGGAAAAGCATTCATAGAAATCTTTCAGTCGTAAATTTCTCTTTAATAGTACAGATCTATTAATATCTACCTGAGTTTTTTTGCTCATTTTCTTAAACAGAGGTATTGTTAAGTAGGTTACAAAAAACATGCATTTGTGGAAATTAATTTTTGGATTTGGTCATTAGTTTACTGATTTTCCACGAAAATGAGTACTTCTGTGTTTTCAGGCATATGAAGACATCTACTACTGATAAAGGTTGAACTTTTAGAGGAAAGAAATTAGGTTGATTCAACTCTGTTATAAAGTTCAAGTTATGAAAATGGGTTAGGACTTCTTTGAGCAAGGATATATAGAAAAAACTTGAGTGAGACTACCAGATCTCATCAAATGAAAGTACATGTACAACTATGGAAAACTTTGAGACATTTCCCCAAAGTAACACTGCAGATGGAACTTTGTTAAGTTAATTTTAAAGTAACTATATTTAAGACACCTTAAAACCCCAAAGGTTGCACCATGGAACTGATCGGGGGTACACGGTCTCCATTTTCCCTTATGCAAGGGTTTTTAGGAGTTTATTGTGTCTGGCTTTGGTGCTTTAGGTTAATTTTACAGTTTACTGAAAATTTAGGCGCATATCTCCAAGGAGATCTCAACCAAAAAAAAAGCAAAAACAAAACTGCATTTTTAATAACAAGTAACAAGGGCTCAGATTGAAACAGCATATCTGGAGTTGTCAGTTTTTTCAGAGTTTGCCTTTTTTTTTTTTAAATTTTTATTTTCAGGACACCTCTCGTCACATTTTGTAGACTCTGAGTCAGGTATCAAATGAAAATTCTCTTTCTATCAAAGTTATTACTGATTTGAAATCAATAATTGTATTAAAGCTATCAATTTCAGAAATAGTCACCTGAGGATGACCATTTCAGAAATAATAGCATCAAAGCTAGCTATTAAGAAATAGTTGCTAAAGTATGACCATTTCAGAAATAACAGCATCAAAGCTACCAGCTATTTCAGAAATAATCACTTGAGTTCAACCATTTCAAAACGACAAGCCTTGGACATGAGTTTTTTAGAAAGCTTAATAAACTTAAAATGAAGCTATTTTGGCATAAAATAGCTTAAAAATTCGAAGAGAAGTTTCATTTAATGCTTTTACCCACATCTTCTGAATGTGATTAAATAGGTGTTCTGAAAAGAAAGATTAACTTGAATGCTGAGTTACATTCAATTTATATATCTACAGTTTGTTGTATAACACTACGCACATGTTGTTTAATCTGAGCCTTTGAAATCAGTCAGACTTGACTTTCATATAATTTGACTCTTACAATGAATATATGAAGTTCATATATTTTGAACTGCAGTTGTAGATATGTATGATGCACGATCCTCGCAGTAGATTTGACTCTTAATAAGACAATGACACTTTAAATCAAAATACTTCAATACCAAACACTTTGAACTTGACACATTATGGACTCTCCTTAAATAAAAATGCTTAATTAACACTAACCCTTAACCAAAATAAGCAAGTAATACTCATTCAATTAATTGACTAAGGAAAAGTTCAAGATGTTTCAGTTCTGATAGCATCTAAATAATGATACAAAATGAAATGGTTCCATTAATTTACTCTTAGAATGAAGTCTGATGGTAAATAGTGTAGACATGTATATGTCATGTAGTGTTATATTAAATTCCTGTTATAGACTGATCAATTAAATTAAGGAAATGATAAGTAATAAGTAAATTTTGTAGTTGGTTCAAGAATACAATACTATGAGCCAATGAATAGTGGTCTAGTGTTATTCAAACCAATCTTCAACTCTTCCTTAAACATGATGCTTTGGAGCATTTTGAATTTTATACTTCTATCAATGATCTCTGGTGCAAGTTTTATGTCTACATCACAGTTTTAGCTCTGGTTGCAGAAAGTAATTGAGTTTTTTTTCTCAAGGTACATGTTCCCTATGACTTCAAAGTAAAGGTCATGTTGCCCCAATTTGGGTTGTACCCGAGTGAACTTGTCCTAAGTGTAATCACAACAACAATAAGCCTCGTGATCTTCCTGAATGGGTGAAAAAAGTGTATCTTAGCTTTTGGAGAGGTGGACCAATAGGAACACTAGAATCCTGTTTTTTGTTTTTGTTTTTTTTGTTTGTTTTTTGTTTTTCATATCAGAAGCAATGCATTAAGAAATTCACAATGACTGTTGTGCGGAAGGTCGAGGGTTTGAGCCCCGGCCGGACCAACACTCGTGGTTTTAAAATAACTGAAGAGAATGTGCTACCTTTCTATAATATCAAAAAATGGATAGACATTCTAGTCTTCTCGAATAAGGACGAATAAACCGTAGATCCCGTCTCCTGCATCTATTAATTAGTTAAAGCTGATAGTTTCTAAAGAAACTGTTTGGGGCTGTGTCAGTGGGGGTAACAAAATTTAAATATATCAACAAAGTTGATATATTTCAACTTTGCTGATATATTCAAATTATTTCGTTACCCCCACTGACGCAGCCCCAAACAGTTTCTTTTAAGAAACTATCAGCCTTTATTCATTTGTATTTTGATTGCTGCGACCACTAACTTTTGTCTTAACATTTTTCAATCCATAGCATTCAGATCAGTGGACCATGCCAAGCCTTATGAATTAGATAATTTGATTAGGCAGGGGACGTTAAAGAACTCACATTAAGAGATTACTATGAGGTGGTCTGGCCTGTTTACTGGGAATTGAGAGGAGGGGGAATCTGTTAAAAATCGCCTTTGTTGATTGTAAACTGCCACTGGAAGTCGCAGTCAGCTAAAAGTCCCCTGCACAGTGTTGTAGAGCGCCTTGAACCACAGGCACCCCAAGCTCTCTTTGAGAACCACACAAGGAACACAATTTGCATATCGATTTATAAGGATTTATATGGGATTTTCTACAAGATATCCATAGAGATAGTTAAAATTGAAAATATTAAATAAAAATGGCTTACCTTATTCCATACGTGTGTTGCTTGGTCCTGGTGTTGTTATTTTACCGATTTCACTTGATTTAAGCGGTTTTTTTTAATCCTGGTTTTCTCTTCTTAAAGAGAAGACAAGGCTGAACACTTCTGTCCAGACAGCCTCCCTAACGAAGTAAAAAATCCCAAGCTAAAATGTACCCATGGCCACAAATCCACCACAGAATTCAAGGGCAAAGGTTAACCTTTCATTTCGATTCTCTAGCCACACAATCTCAGCCCTGCGATCGACACCAGGCGGCTCTTCGTGTCCTCAGTGAAACGTTAAAACATTTGTAGCAATCCAAGTCCTTGTTAAACACGACACAACGACCGTTGAAATCGGCTTGGTAACCTCTTCATGTTGGCAAACCAAGACTCGTGGGGGTACTAGACCTCAACTTGTCAACAAAACTTCTTGTAAAATTCTCTCAGGTTTAGTACCCCTGCGAGTCTTGGTTTGCCAATATGACGAGGTTACCAAGCCAATTTCAATGGTCGTTGTGTCGTGCGTAAAAAGGACTCGGATGTCTACAAACGTTTAACATTTCACTGAGGACTCGAAGAGCCGCCTGGCGTCGATCGCAGGGCTGAGATTATGTGGCTAGAGAATCGAAATGAAAAGTCAACCTTTGCTGTTGAATTCTGCTGTGGATTTGTGGCCGTGGGTACATTTTAGCTCGGGATTTTTTACATCGTTCGGGAGGCTGTCTAGGCAGAAGTGTTCGGACTTGTCTTCTCTTTAAGAAGAGAAAACCAGGATTTAAAAAAACCCGCTTAAATCAAGTGAAATAGGTAAAATAACGACACCAGGAGCAAGCAACACACGTATGGAATAAGGTAAGCCAGTTAAAATTGAAAATATTAAATAAAAATATCTCTATGGCTATCTTGTAGAAAATCCCATACAAATCCTTATAAATCGATATGCAAATTGTGTTCCTTGTGTGGTTCTCAAAGAGAGCTTTGGCCGCCTGTGCTTGAACATAGGATAAGAGCGCTACAGAAGTAAAAGTTATTATTATTAATGACTTGGCTTGAATGGCAGGGGAACTTTCCTCCCCTTGGTATGGAACTTCCCTATCTCTGCCTCCTTTTTCAAGAAGCGAAATATTTTTGTAGCGACGAGTTTTGCATCACTTGAATTCCACCTATAAGACAGACACCCTTTCAAGGACAACACCTAAATTACTTTTCCTGCCCCTCCGGGCGTCGGTCTCACCTGCTTTACGGATCCGTAGCCATGATTGCAGTCGTATTTGTCTATTTTTTTAAACAACTTTAGAAGTGTCACAATCTAAAGGTGCGTGAGATGAAACGCGATTTACACCAGTGTAATAGACTCGATCCGCAGCAGTTCGGCCGGACACACCTGCCGCCATTTTAACGCAGCGCGCTTCACTCGCACGATCCCAGAAGCACACGCGGCTTTTTATTTATATTTTTTTATATTTTATTTTAGTATAATTTTAGAGCTAAGCAAAGAGTTTCCAGCAATCTGATTGGTCGAGCGGTTCCTTACATGACGCTATATAAACCGTCCCACGCGTTTTATATAAAATCTTAAAATAAAATGTTAATAAATGTTACTAAAATGTTATGATTTTAGACATTTCTCTGTTGTTCAGCTCTGAAATTATACTAACGCAATTATTCGCCTCAGGTTCGGTGAATATTGTCGAATAATCCCCTAGACTTCGTCTCGGAGATTATTCGACGATATTCACCGAACCTGGGGCGAATAATTGTTAAATATTATAATAGTAAATACAAATATTTTATTATCTATTTAGGTGTATATATTATTTTTTGGTAGCCATCAGGACTGGAGTTTTTGGGAGTGCTACTCTATTTTTATGACCAGCGAAGCCGTGAATGGAAAAAAACCTGCTATGCCGATAGTTTTCTGTAGGCTTTGCGGTTTTGCGTGCGCTAATCGAGCAGAAAAGTCGATTTTAAAAAAGACGGCGAATAGCACCTTCATTTCAGCTGAGTCTATTGCGCGAGTCAAAAAAACTCCTTGAAACAAATGAAGGATTTTAGTGGGTCTCGCGGAACTCTGGGTATGATGCGCACGAAAAGTAGGGACTACAGAAAAATTTTTACAAGGCACACCCTTTTTTTGCGTCAAATCTTGCTTTTGATGAGGCGTAGCCGATGATATCACTTATCTTAATGTCCTGTCGATCTCCATGTTACCGAAACACGGGGAGATCTCGCAAAAACTAGGCCAGGCGTACAAATATGTGAAACAGTTTGATCTCGATGAGTTCCACGGACAAAATTCCCAAGAAAATCATTAGGAGATAATAGGGGATGATAGTAAAGGACTCTTTGCATAACTATCTCTTTAGCGTGAGCGCATGTAATTTTAAAAATCTTAACGGACACATTTAGCGAAATAGAGTACCTACGGAGAATTTTATTCTTCCACCCTTCGCTCCCAGAGTTCAGTGCGGCAAGCTAACCTCGATGTTTCTTTTGCTTATTTTTCTGACTCGCTTATTGCTGTAGCGCTAGCGCACACAAAACTGCCAGCTACGCAATATATTGTTATTAGTACTATCATTATTGTCAATACTATTATAATTGTCATTATTACATTTACTTTTATTCTTGTCATCGTTGTCATTAGATAATCATTATCATTATTATCATTATGAATTTTTTCTGCCTATACCAGCCCTTCCCTAGTAGCCTGCCTGGCAGCCTGATGCGGCCGGCAAGTAATTTGCCTGTGATACGAGCTAATTTGCACGGGTTTCCTGCAGCTATCACGCTATGAGGACGGCTGGCATCCTGCACGATCTGCTAAGCCTCCACTTTTTCCCCTCTTGTCTATAATACCCCCTTCCATACTTTTCAAAAACTCTTTCTAAATTCCGTCTCCCCCACTCCTTCCGAGCAAAAACCCTACTTTTGATTTCATTTGGATTACGTATGAAGCGGCAAGAAATTATAAACTCCAGTTATATTCTCTTGGTCGTGGCCATTATCATGAATATAGTTCTATTTCAAATAATATAGATTCTCTTAAGCACAGAATATACATAATATGCATTAAAGCTGGGCGGCGATCAAAATAAAGGTAAGAGAAGTAAATCGTTTTCCTATCCTACCCCATTTCCATTAGTTAGTTTCTGTAGCTTCGTTTGTACTGGACTGAATAAAGAGTTGGTTCATTTCACGTAACTAATAATCCTTCATACCGTGTATATTGGTAAGTGGATATTAAATATAGCTAGAGCTAGCTTAATGGTTTTTTGCCGTTTATTACTGATTCTTGATAGGGAGTATTCAAATAAAAGGTTATGCAACATGTCATGATCGATGAATGACTTTTACAAATTTGAGTAACGTCTCTGAGGCTTTCTAAATAAGCAAATTATCCGTTGGTTGCAGGTATTGGTCAAAACTTGTTCCCAGGGCCTTATCGAAACCATCACCATATTTACTCGTGAATCGTGATTGATTTCGATGTCCGGGAAAGTGCAAAGTGCAGTTATTCTTTTACCCGGATGTTGCGTAGTGATAAAAATACATTATGGCTTCGACAGAAAATGAATGAGGTCACAAGTACATTCTGCTCGCTAAGGCAACAAGTTGAAAGACTTTGGGGCGAAGTTGTAAGGCGGGCGAGCTACTTTTACTACTAAGGGCGAACTTGGGAAGGTGGTTGGGGCCCCCTGATCCTTTTTCCTTTCTGACTCTTTTCTTGTATTTAATCACTTTATCAAGGATTTTGTATTTCTTCCATTAATGTCAGTTATCTGTTTTTTTTCTTAGTCCCTTTTTGTATTATCCGACTTTTACGTATGAATAAAATTAGCTAGAGCTAGCTAGCCAGCTTAGCATTTGTCGCGACGGTCAAGTTTAACGTCATCCATAGTTGTTTTACACACGTGTGTTATTGTATTTTTTCTCCGCCAATCAGACGTTCATGTATTCTGTCAAACAGATGGCTTCATTCATTACTGCCTATTGGTGAACAACAGAAGACTTTGTTTCTGCCATTTGTAAAAACCGAAATCTTTAGCCTTTGTTTAACACAAAACAAGCACAGGTGCTGAGCACATAGGTCCCAAATTCACAATACTCCGTTATCATTTGTGTACTGTATAAAATGATCTGTTGATGATCCCACATTTGGTCCAAGTTGGTTTATTTATTACTTATTCGTCTGCGAATGCCAAGCGGAAGATCGTTTATTTTCCTGAGTAAGTCTGGTGTGTTTTTATTGAGCGCTTGACAGGAAATCGGAGAACGCTAAGAAAGCCAGTTTTAAACACGTGAAAGCACTTCAGATGAAGACAGCCAATCAGAATTCTTGGCATTGTGCCTGTTGACAAGTAAGAAGCCAATCCAAAGCGCCCTTTGCGTTTCCGCGCTTTAGAGTTTATTTTGCATCCAAGTCTTTTTTTAGTGCGGCATCTTTCAATTCTGTCTCTTTCTGCTGTCGCTTTTGTTCGTTGCTATAGTTGTGGCTTTATTCTTTCTTTCTGTAACTTTGCGACGGTTCATTTCCACTCGATGGCCGAAGAAGCACCCGCACTCAAGAAGGACTCTACCATGGTTGTGACTGCTAAGGTGAGGAGAAAATCGAAAGCGCGCGAACACCGCAGAGCATCTTGACCGTATGGTTTTCCGGCAGAGGATGAATTATGATTTCTGTTTCTCGCTTTAGGAGGGAGAACAGTTTCTTGAAGAGCACGGAAAGGTTCATGAAGATGTAAAAACGAGAGCACAACAGAAAGAACTTGAGGAAAGCGAAGATGACGCCGCTAGCAAACTGAAAAGAACTTCGACTATGGCTGCGACCGCACAGGTAAGATCATGAGTTCGAAAGTTGGTAGGTTTCACTTTCTTTCCACTAATTTAAAACTCACGATTCTAAGCGGCCCGTTTTTGAGAATATGTTGTACACTTTTAGGAGGGAAGCGATCTCCTTGGAGATGAAGAACGCGGTAAAACGCGATCAGTGACTGCGGCTATGAAAGAGACGGATGAAGGCGATCAAGAGGAAAGCGGAGAAGACGACGACGATGAAGAAGAAGAAGAAGAACCGAACGGAAACTCCGAAGAGGATGGAGGAGATAAACCAGCTGTCAAACGCGATGGAACTATGGTTGTGACCGCTGCGGTGAGATCACTGCAAAATTTGTTTTAACTTGCCAGTGAAAGAGTTTTCTTTTGCTTATCGATGGTATAAATTTCTTTTTAGGAAGGTGAAAAGTTTTTGGAAAACGAGGGCCATACGGTTGACGGTGGAACACGTGGGGAAACCGAAGCAGTGAAAGCAGCTATCGAAGAAACCGAAGCCGATAAACAGAATGGTGATAAAGAAGATGATAAACCAGACCTGAAACGGAAAGGAACTATGCAAGAAACTGTCGAGGTAAGAGAAAAAAAATGCGGTGACTTTTTGTTTACGGATTCGTAAGTCGATTTTCAGGTACCGCTGCTTTTGTGCCGAAAACACTGTTCTGAATAAATTCCGTGTTATGGGTTGTTTGCCATTGTCACATGGAAATTCAGATTATGTTAATGATTTCCGCTCGCTGAGAAAATCGGGCTCTGTAGGCCTGAACGCTGCACGGTATGTCTAAGATTTGTGTATTCTAGTAGTTTCCACGCGTCAAATTGGTTTATGTTAGTTGAAAAACTGACATCGTCTGATCAGAAATGTACTTTATCGACTTTGTCACGCCATTTGGCATTTGATGCACGCTTCGCTGCGATTCTATTTCATTTAAAGGAAGTCTATTGTTTTTAGGTCACTACTGTCATAGTTGTTCATGAGACAAGTAGCTATTGAATTTTCACACGGTTGCCACGCTTTGGTGATAAACTTAACACCATGAATTATGTTTCGCGCGAGTGATAGAGAAAATTTTCCCCCTCCCTCCCTTGTTCATTTACACGTGATCGCGTGTTTATCAAAAAAAATTTCCTTGCGCGACATGGATCAGTCGTAATAACTAACTATGAAATGCTGTTCTTATAGAAATTTATTTTATTAAAACGGGAAACTTCGTTATTTCAGCGTCATCTGTCAAGGTTATTGGCTTTCTTTGAAGCACTTAAACATTAACGTGACGTTTCGTGACAAGCTTTTTACGCTTATCAGGAAAAAGTGACGGCAATTTGAATTTCCTGTATTTTTTTAAAGAGTTATTTATATCTTGCCACAATCACGGAGTTTTTGTAGATCACCTCAGTAACTGAAAATATTTTATTACTTGAACTAAAGCCTTATGGTATATTTGCATGTTATCTTTTTCAATTAGGCAAACATGTTTTTAAAGGATTATTTTAACATCTTTTCAAGGTCACTTGGCATAAATAACAAAATGACAACCTGTTTGACTGATATTTTCAGGGGGAAAGGCTGGTTATTTAATACATTCCTAAAAATAACTAAACTTATCCAAAAACTATTAGACAAACAGATGTCTAAACTGTAAATTATTACTTATAGATCAGGAAGATTTTCTCAGTTTGTGTTATACCTAAACTAAAAATCTCCATTCAATTTAAGTCATGACCCTAAATAATAAATCCAAAATCACCTAGAATGGTGAAAGCTTCAAAAATATTTTGAATTATTTCCAAGATTCACCCAATGAATCCCCTCCCAATTTGTCCACCTTTCCATGAGTGAGCTCATGAAGTTTAAAAATAATATCAGTATCAGAGGAATTTTCTTCTAACCGTTCAACTGTTTTAAAAGTTATTCACAAATAACTATTGCACAAGGCCAACGCATTATTCAGCAAATAGGTGACAAAATTGAATGTTTTCAGCTAAAGAGTGTTTTCTTGATATAGCACCAAATTCTCTCAAATAATTAACAAGACCATGTATAGAAGCTACAAGAGAGAATTGGGAATTATTTCACTGGGGTTAAAGGGTTAACAAAATACTTTATAATTTCGAGGGCTCTAAACTCAACTTTCAAAGGTGCCATTTGGAGGCACACGATCATTAAATTTTCATACAATCATGAAATTCTCAGGAGAAAAATAGATTCATACTTGTTTGATGACGTATCTATTGCTGATTTTGTCTGACTTGTACTTCGCGTGTTTTTCAGGAGGGTGAAGAATATTTGAAAAGGCAGAAAACTACTAATGGAGATCACCAAGAGGAAGTCAAAGCTTGATCTTCACTGTACTTTAAATGTTGCAACTTTTACGACTGCATGACAATTGGACAGATCTTGTACAGTATATACAACAGTAGAGCATATGTAACATTTTTAAGCATGGCCATATACAGCTTCTATTTAGCATAATAGTTATCTATCATTTAATGGTTTTCCTAAAATGGATTTGTCATTTTCTACCCAGATCAAATAGACAACTTTGAACCAATTTTATGCTCTTATCTTTCCTTTTCCCTTCCTTGAGAAATCAATCCTGAGATTCTACAGAACCTTTTTTCTGTATTATAATAAAATAGGAGACTTTGGAGTTTTGGTAATTGGGTTGGCAAAGGGCTTGATTTAATTAATTTCTTTGATGGATCAATCCTAGGTACTTGTTATGATTTTGATATAAATTGAAACAGACTGGTGACAAAAATTATAGTAATATCAGTAAGGGAATTTTTGGTCGGACTATGTGACCAAATTCTCTTCATTAGTCAACAAGGATTGTATTGCCATCAGCTAGGAGAATTAAGTTTTTAGATCTTAAGGGGATAGAAGGTTATGTCTTAGTGAAGGATAACTTTGTTTTCTTTTCAAAAGAAGTTGAAACTTAAGGAAAATTCTAGTGTTTTCTCTTACTTTTATGGATAAATAATTAAGGGTTTTGAGATACTTGCTCATTGAAATTTTCAGTCAAGGAATTAAGAAAAATTTATAGTGTGTGATAAAGTCCATTTTATTTTCCAAACTCCCCTTTCCCAAGTCCTTAACAGGTGTCTCCTTTGGGAATTTATGGATTTATTTTCTTAAAAGTGCTATTTGCTACCCCTGTGTATGGTAACTCAAAGCCTATTCATATTGTAAACTTTTAAGCTTTTATACTTTTTAAAAGCCACATACAACATCAAACAGACAGCAGAAAAGTAGCTCATTAAAGTGTTCTTTTTGGATAACTGGTTTTTATTTAAATGACTTTTCAGGATGAGAATCTCTNGGTGGGTGATTTCTGGTCATCAGAAAAAAAATTTTTCTAGCAATCTGCTGTGCAGGATATTTTTTTCGGATTTTTTGGTACATTTTTTCTGTTACATTTGGGCTGCATGCAGTTTTTTTCTTCCAACAAGTGCTTGCAGGAAATTTTTCAAAATCACCCACCCCCCTCCCTCAAAGGTTAAATGGTCGGCCCCTTAGAGCCCTGTCTCCCTCCAGGTATTTAGAGACACAGCAAACCATTGCTGGAGAAATGTTTTAATTTCTCCTTTTCTTCTTGCCCTTTCCTCCCTTACCCACTGAACTTGACCTGAGTGCCTGTTTCAGTCCTTTTGTGTCACCCTTTCTCTTACGAAGAAATTGCCTGCCTTGGATACATCCACTATTTGGAGTACCATGTACTTGCATCAGAAGATACAGTCACCTTGTTGTTTACACATGGTCCTAGATCAAACAACTGAGAGCAAACTTCAATTAAGTCAATGTGTTGTTTTCTTGGGAAGAATATTCTTCTTTCAGAGAGCCTTTCTTCACCTTGAATTTTTAAAATCCCTGGATGTGTCTAACATTTCTTTTTTCCATAAAGTATCAGTCCCCCTGAATGAGTCCTGAATCAAACATAAAGATCATGAGAAGAAAAAATTGGTTGGAGGTCTTGATTTTTATAAAAATTCCCGGCGCACAGAACAGAAAGGAGAATATTCCCACTGATGTTAAGGTATAAAGAGTGAAATAGGTTCTATTAAACTGTCTTAGAAACCTAACAAAATTCCATTGGGTAACTTGTATATGGACATATGTTCCGGCCAGGGATAACACTGATTCTGGGTTTGTTTGGCAGCCCTCGGCCATGTGGCAGCGTTCGGCCGCGAACAAATTATTTTTTCGCAACCGCGAGAAAAAAAAAAAGAAAAACTACCAGTGGCAGCGCTCGGTCGGGTAGTAATTAATTAATTTTAGGCCTCACGGAACAGCGTACGCACGTGAGTTAAGGAAAATTTCACACATGCGCAGATGACGCCCGTTCTTGTGTTTACTTCTCCCATCTACGCTTTTAAAACTTTACCGTTGAATATCTTATCCAAACACAAAGTCTCTGGTAGTTTAATACTTAAACCGCGAAGAATACAACGGAATTAAGGATTCTACCGTTTTAGTTTTTTTCTTTTCATCGACTTAGTGGTAGAAATGCTATTTTTT